CCCCTGCATCCATCCCAAAAACCCCAAATCCTGGGAAACCCCCTGCATCCACCCCAAAAACCCCAAATCCCGGGAAAACCCCAGCATCCATCCACCCCAGAAACTCCAAATCCTGGGGAAATCCCTGTATCCATCCCAAAAACCCCAAATCCTGGGAAAACCCCTGCATCCGTCCCAAAAACCCCAGACTTCGGCTGGGGGTCTGGTACCTGCTGGTTCTGGGCACCTCTGGGTGACTGGGACGGGACTGGGACGGAACTGGGACAGAACTGGGAGCACTGGGATGGGACTGGGAGCACTGGGAGGGTTGGGAGCCTTTGGGAATTCAACCCAATCCCGCTGGACTCCCAAGAGGAGAATTCCTCCGGCACAACCCAAAATCCCTTTTCCCCCTAAACTGCCCCAGCCCGGGGGATTTTGGGGCACAACCTGGAGATTTTGGGGCACAGCTGGGAGATTTTGGGGCACAGCTGGGAGATTTTGGGGCACAGCTGGGAGATTTTGGGGCACAACTGGGGGATTTTGGGGCACAACCGGGGGATTTTGGGTCACAACTGGGGGATTTTGGGTCACAACCAGAGGATTTTGGGTCACAACCGGGGGATTTTGGGGCACAACCGGGGGATTTTGGGGCACAACCTGGAGATTTTGGGTCACAACTGGAGGATTTTGGGCCCAGCCGTGGCCGCTGCCGACATTCCCGAGGTTTCCCGGCGCAGGTATCCCGACGCCACGGCCGAGGAGCTGCAGGCCGTGGACAACGTGTGCATCATCTGCCGCGAGGAGATGGTGACGGGCGCCAAGCGCCTGCCCTGCAACCACATCTTCCACACCAGGTGCTGCTTCCTGCGGGATCCCGGGAATCTGACGGGAATAACGGGAATTCCGGGATGGGGGGCACGGCTGTGCCGGCACGGAACGGCAGTTCTGAGCTGGAGACTGAGCCTGAGCCTGAGCCTGAGCCTGAGCCTAATCCTGATCCTGATCCTGATCCCGATCCCGATCCCGGTCCTGATCCTGATCCTGGTCCTGATCCCATCCTAATCCTGATCCTGCTCCTGCTCCTGATCCCATCCTAATCCTGATGCCGATCCCGGTCCTGATCCTGATCCTGCTCCTGGTCCTGATCCCATCCTAATCCTGATCCTGATCCTGGTCCTGGTCCTGATCCCGATCCCGGTCCTGATCCTGATCCCATCCTAATCCTGGTCCCATTCTAATCCTGATCCCAATCTAGATCCCATTTCTGATCCTGATCCCGATCCCTAATCCTGATCCTAATCCTGATCCTGATCCTGATCCCGAATCTGATCCTGATCCTAATCCTGATCCCAATCTAGATCCCATTTCTGATCCTAATCCTGATCCCAATCCTGATCCCGATTCTGATCCTAATCCTGATCCCAATCCCGTCCCAATCCCGATCTTGATCCTAACCCTGATCTGGATCCCATCCTGATCCCAGTCCGAATCCTGATCCCTATCCTGATCCAAATCAAGGGCTAATGAAGGGCTAATGAGGAGCTAATGAAGTGCTAATAAAGGGGCTAATGAAGCCTTAACGATGGGCTAATGAGGTGCTAACAAGGGGCTAACGATGTACTAATGAAGGGCTAATGAAGCACTAACGACGGCCTAATGGAGGAACTAATGAAGCACTAATGAGGTGCTAATGGAAAAGTTAATGGAGGGGCTAATGAAGCACTAACAAGGGGCTAATGAGGGGCTAATGAAGCATTAATGAAGCACTAATGAGGCGCTAATGGAAAGGTTAATGGAGGGGCTAATGAAGCACTAATGAGGAGCTAATGAGGGGCCAATGAAGCACTAATGAGGCGCTAATGGAAAGGTTAATGGAGGAGCTAATGAAGCACTAATGAGGGGCTAATGAAGCACTAATGAGGCGCTAATGAAGCACTAATGAAGCACTAACAGCAGCGTTCCCCCAGCTGCCTGCGCTCGTGGTTCCAGCGGCAGCAGACGTGCCCCACGTGCCGCATGGACGTGCTGCGAGCCTCGCTGCCGGCACAGCCGCCCCCGGAGCCACCGGCACCGGCACCGCCCCCGCCGGGGCCGCAGCCCCCACACCGTGAGTGACCGACCGGGGACAGGGCTGGGGAGTGACCGGGGACCGGGACCCCTCCCCCA